AGTCAATAAAGTCCTTTAAGCTCCAGTTGCATTCACTCCTTGGCATACGAGATTTCGTGGGTTCATTAAGTCCAAAACGAAACAAGTCCTTAAATAAAATCTCATCATAAAGTGGTACCTGATAAGATAGTTCACAGAACCGGTGAACATACTCCTCAATAGAAAGACCTCCTTGCCGAAGATGCAGTAGCTCGGTGACTGGGTCCATACCAGGCCAGAGTCCACTGAAAAAGCCGCTGGATCCTTGGGTGGCCTAGTATTCTGTTACAGGGCTGACGATAGTGAGGGAGTGATATGAAACAGCTGGGTGCAATCAGTGTGAACAGCTGTGTGCAATCCGTGCTGAGTGCAATCAGTGCAATGCATGATGGGAAATGTAGTCCGGGGTGATGTGCAACAGTGTGTAGTGCGAGAGTCAATGAAATTGGAAGTTCATGGACCGAATTCGTGACAAATATTAATACAAAAAAATAATAATAATACACACAAAAAAATATCATGAAATATAATTAATAATTAGCTAAGTATTAGTTAATTATTAATTAATTAATAGAATGAAAAAATACTATTTTACTAAATTAAAGTGCTACTAAGAAAAAGTGTTACTAATTGGCCACTGAGTTTTCCTTAGTTCACTAGCCCTGCTCTAGGCAAATATTTTGCTCAGTTTCATCTTGGAAATCTTATAAATGTCTGCATTCATTCAAACAGCCCAGTTTTCATGTCACTATCTAAACTTTGAGTACCCAGTGAGATGGCGAAATTGGGTGCAGTTCCACAGGCCTTCAGTGTCACATCCCGTAGGTCTTAGGCAGATCATACTGCACATGGACATACTAGAGACCCAACCTCTGCTTCGCTCTGGTCTGTCTTGGCTCTCAAATCAAAGCTCTTGCGATGCTCTAGGACACCATAATAAAAGGGTTCGTGAGCCCTTCATCTTGTGGGTGACAGTCATCCCCGCTGGTTACAGTCAGGCATGCGCTTTTCAGCACTGTTCTCTATGATTACTGAACCCAGTCACCACTGTCACAGTGCTCCAACATGCCTTATCCCTGTATGTAGAGCTCTGGAGATCATTTCAGGCTATACTGAAGCTCATGCAAGAGGCTAATGCTAGACAGATGACTAGGTAGATCAGCAGTTAACATGGTACACATTCATTACCAAAAGTGAGCGATATACACAACGTTTCCAAGGTTTGGGCTAGGTAAGGTTTTTTCAAATGTTTTTGAAAAGTCTTTTACGCTCACCAAGGCTGCATTTATTTGATCAAAAAATAAAGCAAAAACAATAGTTTTGTGAAATATTGTTACCATTTAAAATAACGGTTTCCTATTTGAGTACATTTTAAAATGTAATTTATTCCTGAATTTTCAGCATCATTACTACAGTCTTGAGTGTTACAGGATCCTTCAGAAATCAGTCTAATATGCTGATTTGGTGCTCAAGTAACATTTGCTATTATTATCATTGTTGAAAACAGTTGTCCTGCTTCATATTTTTGTGGAAACCATAATACATTTTTGATAAATAGAAAGTTCAAAAGAACACCATTTAATTGAAATATTTGTTTTGTAACAATGTAAGTGTTTACTGTCACTTTAATGTGTAAAGGTAATATTTAAAAAAAAAAAAGCATCATCATCATTAGTAGTAATCCCTATCATAATTGTGTTATTTTAATTTTAAATCTTGTCTGTGTCATAGGTGTACTGGACCCCGGATCCAAGATTGTATCGGAATGCTGGACAGGTAAACGCCTAAATGAAAGTGAGCGATATACACAACGTTTCCAAGGTTTGGGCTAGGTAAGGTTTTTTCAAATGTTTTTGAAAAGTCTTTTACGCTCACCAAGGCTGCATTTATTTGATCAAAAAATAAAGCAAAAACAATAGTTTTGTGAAATATTGTTACCATTTAAAATAACGGTTTCCTATTTGAGTACATTTTAAAATGTAATTTATTCCTGAATTTTCAGCATCATTACTACAGTCTTGAGTGTTACAGGATCCTTCAGAAATCAGTCTAATATGCTGATTTGGTGCTCAAGTAACATTTGCTATTATTATCATTGTTGAAAACAGTTGTCCTGCTTCATATTTTTGTGGAAACCATAATACATTTTTGATAAATAGAAAGTTCAAAAGAACACCATTTAATTGAAATATTTGTTTTGTAACAATGTAAGTGTTTACTGTCACTTTTGATTAATTTAATGTGTAAAGGTAATATTTTTTTAAAAAAAGCATCATCATCATTAGTAGTAATCCCTATCATAATTGTGTTATTTTAATTTTAAATCTTGTCTGTGTCATAGGTGTACTGGACCCCGGATCCAAGATTGTATCGGAATGCTGGACAGGTAAACGCCTAAATGTTTTTTTTTTTTTCTGGATTTAAGCTTATATAAATAATATATACTATATGAATCTCAAAAGCAAAGGATTTCATAGCTACAGTTCTGACACTTCACTTTAGGAAACTAAAAATCAATTAATTAAAAACAGTCAACACATTACAGAATATTTCCAAGTAGCTTTTATTTGTTTCCCTTTAGAGAACTACCCTCATACCTTTGTTAAGCATATAATGTATTTTGATAATTGAGTTGGTTTGAATGTGTGATAATTAGGTGTTATGATTTGAAAGAACATGACACTATTCCTGGAAATGCAGTAGGCCTTCTTAAAAGTTCAGGTTTTTACTGAGTTACCAATTTTTTTCTTAATTTTAATATTAACAGAAAAAGAAAAAGAATAGGATAGTGAGTATTTTTGAATAACTGATTTCATAGATAATGCCATTTTCCTAGTTGGGCACTTCTCTTAAAATGCCAATAAAAATCTAAAATGAAAAACTGAAATGTTCTTACAGTACATTATGTTTCATGTTTTAAGTCCTTGCGTTTTCCTCCAGGACTCCTCTGATTGCAGCTGGGGTGATTGGAGGGATGTTTGTGGTTGTAATCGTGGCCCTTGGATTTGCTATCTTTTTCCGACGGAAGAGCATCAAGAAGAAAAGAGCCTTACGCCGTTTCCTAGAAACAGAGGTGAGAGCTAAAAGTGTAAAATAATTTGAACAATTTGGATGCAGTAAATAAATTTGAAAAACATTTAGTCTCAGGAGACACAGTCAGAGAGAAAATAAAAAATGCAGACAGAAAGCCTGGCCAGTGAAATTGGTGTGGTGGTGCATGGATGGGTCTATAACCACTCTCAATTTTTCATTTGAAAGTGCCCCTCTCACTTCAATGGTGGGAACCCTCAAAAGGAATAATGGAGATCATTTTCAGATCCTTAAATGAAAACTTATGAAAGTTCTTCAAAATGTCCTGCAGCCAGTATGTGTGTGAGTATGTGCATTTGATATAAAGTTTAACTCAATATTATGGAATCTGCAGTTCTGTTAGGTGTTAAGGAGTGTAAAGCACTAAATTGATCTGCTGTTTCAGTATCTATTTCTTGCAGATAAATCCAGTTTTGAAGGTGTATTTGCTGTGTTTTTCTTTCTTTTTTTCGGCAAGAAAACTCAATATCAGGATTAATATTAATTAAACTATTTGGAAATTAGGTCTGTCCATGGCAACCATTGGGCGTTTTAATTAAATGGTGATTTTCTAGAGGTCAAAGTGTATTTGCAATCAAAATAAATAAATAAAGGAAAACTAACAGAAAAAGAAGAATGAGAACTTAGGAATGGAAGGGTTAATGTTGTGAAAGTGTTTGGTTGAGGTTTAAAGGTGGAAATGGAAAGATATTGGAAAGTGTCAATGGAAGTGAATTGCCTAAACACTTAAAGATCTGTCACCCAAAAGGGTTGAAATCTAGGAAAAAAGTATCAATCTGAACTTAGAGGTCCGGACATTAGTGCAGGAATATGTGGATGCAGTAGCTCACATAGATAATGCAAACACTATGAAAAGCCTTGAAGGTTAAGAAAAGTACAGTATTTGAATACATGATGAGATGGGCAACCACTGTAAGGTGATATGAATTGTGCTTTGTAATTGTGAAAACTCTTATCAACTAAATTGTGTATGGTTTTAAAGGTATTGTAATTTGGCAAAGGTTTTAGTGGCAAGTCAACCCTCTACAATGTGAATAAATCACTCGCATATGCGACTAAATGATGTCTAACATTAGCCATTGCCTTATAAATTCTTAGATTTTGCTCAGCAGTGTGTGAGTTGGAGGCCGAACACTCTAACTGAGTTCTTCAGAGTTTCACTTTACGTCAAGCGACCTGTGCTATTTTTCAATTCATCACAATGGATGTGCAGCGTACCTGTATTTGACCTACTGTAAACACTAGTGTAAAGGCGAACGAATTGCCTCACACACATGCAAAGAAAGAGAGAGGGAGTCTTACATATAATGCAGTATTGTAAACAATATTATTTGTTGTATTTTCCTGTATTGTTCTTGTAAATTGTAAACTGTATGGTCTTTAAAATTGAGAAATGGGTTGAACATGATGTCAAAATGCCTTGTAGTTTTGAGTTTGGGGTCCTAAAATCTCTGTTGAAGGGATATGAAATTGGAACTCGGTTCTGAGATTAGAAGCAATTTCATTAACCTCTTGATAAGCCTAAAGATCAGAGTAAAAATGGTGAGTCAAGTTAAATAATGTCACTGAAAGAATCTCTGTATAAGCACAGGCTTAATTTGAGAAGTAAAGAAGGGGAGAACAAAGACTGAGCAATGCAAACTGAAAACTTAAAAACCAAAACCAAGAATATAACCTACTGACTATAACCAAATTAATACATTTGTACATGATGACAATAATGAAATCAGACCGAAAATGTGTTCATTACGGTGCCAACCTGTGGCTGACAGATTAAACTAAAGTAGACATTGTAGTTATGTATGAATTTGTGATTTTGAGTGATTTTGATGTTGTAAATGTCTTTTGAGCAGTTGGTGGAACCTTTAACGCCAAGCGGCACAGCGCCCAACCAGGCACAGTTACGTATACTGAAGGAAACGGAGCTCAAGAGGGTAAAGATCTTGGGAACAGGAGCCTTTGGCACTGTTTACAAGGTACTACATTCACTTTTATGATTTTTGTGTTTATATGAGTTTTGTGTTTTCTCAACAATATATTTTTTACAATTTAGCATGTAATCGACTTCATCTGTCATCTTCTTTATAAGGGAGTCTGGGTTCCAGAAGGGGAAACGGTGAAGATTCCAGTGGCTATAAAGATACTCAATGAAAGCACAGGACCTAAAGCCAATGTGGAGATTATGGATGTGAGTAATTTACAATTAAACCTTACTTTACTTTACTTTTTACCATCATTTGCAAAATAAGAATGCAAGAACAGACAACTGAATGGATTTACTGAGAATGTCCATTTCACCCAAAGTGCAAATCAAATAACTCTAAGCAACGCAATATTTTCTGGCAATTACATGCATTGTTAAATACATTTAACATTAGACTAACCAAGTTAAGCTATTGCTTTTAAGGCTATATGACTTTGAGATGCTATCTTAAAGCAGGGGTGTCAAACTCAGACAAATTCAGAGCTCCATGTTGGGTTTTCCAAATGGAACGCTCACTCTTGGGAACTCGGTCTATCTCACTCAACCCCAAGTTGAGAATTCAAAATGGCTGCTCCCTACGTGAGAAAAAGTGAAAGCTATAAATACTTCAATACTATGCATTTCTGTTATATTCACATGTCATTATTGAGTCATTACTGCCCAACCTCTATCTGTGAATATGTTGCTATGGTGTGTGGGAGTGTCTGCAGTTACAAAATGCAGTGTAATGCTCTGTTTTTGCTAACACTGCTAATGCTAACATGAGTGAACTCTGTTACATGTTTTCTGACTTCTCTACTGCAGTGGTTTTCAACCATGGGTCGCGACACAAAAAATGGGTCGTCAGGATGATTTAAGTAAAATGTATATATGTATGCAACAAAGCTCAAGACTCTGGGAAGAAGGAAGCGTGAACCAGCAAACATAACTTTAATAACAAACAACAAAATTAATGTAAAACCACCTCACAGCAGACTCCAGTGCATATCTCTCTGTTTGCGCTCTGGAGAGCATCAAAGGTTTACAACGTGTTTTTGCAGCTTTGAACATTGTAGCCTATCACGTCTGCAGTTACAAAATGCAGTGTAATGCTCTGTTTTTGCTAACACTGCTAATGCTAACATGAGTGAACTCTGTTACATGTTTTCTGACTTCTCTACTGCAGTGGTTTTCAACCATGGGTCGCGACACAAAAAATGGGTCGTCAGGATGATTTAAGTAAAATGTATATATGTATGCAACAAAGCTCAAGACTCTGGGAAGAAGGAAGCGTGAACCAGCAAACATAACTTTAATAACAAACAACAAAATTAATGTAAAACCACCTCACAGCAGACTCCAGTGCATATCTCTCTGTTTGCGCTCAAAGGTCTACAACGTGTTTTTGCAGCTTTGAACATTGTAGCCTATCACAGACATATCTGTTGATTTCTTGAACGCAATGGCCAATCAGAGTGTTTCTGTTAATCAGAATCCACTCACTGCTCAAAACACAGGTGTTGTGTTCAGTGCTGAGTTCTGCAAGCTCATCCTCTCATTGTAACAAACAAAGTATAGACACGATGTAAATAAGATATTTATTGTACAATGTAGAGAGATTAATTGATTATTATTAACTGAATTTTCTGAGATTGCGATAAACTGAAATGAGTGACAGCTTTTCAGTGATTATTAAGGGATTATATATATATTATTGGCTATATATAATCCAATCAGAATTTGAATAAAAGTTTTGTTTGTCATGATGCTAAGAGGACCAACGGTGGTGAACATGCTGCAAAGTTTATATATATGAGTTGCGTCAATTTAAAAAGAAAAAAAAATTATAATAATAATTGGGTCGCTCTAGTTGTTCCAATAGTTGGAAAGCCACTGCTGTACTGGAACACAGTCCACTTGGGTGTAATGGCATTCTCAGCTCCGACATCCAACTTCCGAGTTAAATCGAATGCATCATTAATTCCAACCCTGCTCCAACACACAAACCATATAGTTTTCAAATAAACCTGAATGACTTGATTAGCTGGGTCAGGTGTGTTTAATTAGGGTTTAAGCTAAACCCTGCAGGGTTGTGGCCCACCAGAAACTGAGTTTGACACCCCTATCTTAAAGTTTGTATTGAATGCAATGGGTCAGGTGAATGACACGTTTTTAAACCATGTTTGTTTTGCTATTACTTTCTGTAACTGCATTATTGTATAAATGTACACTATCGTAAAAGTTTGGGGTCGGTAAGGTTTTGAAAAAAGTATCTTATGCTCTTATGCATTTATTTAATCAAAAGTCTTCAGTGTCACATGATCTTTCAGTGATCATTCTGATATGCTAATTTGCTGCTCAATAAATATTTCTTACTATTATCAGTGATGAAAACAGTTGTGCTGCTTAATATTTTTGTGGAAACCTTCATGCATCTTTTTTTAGGATTCTTTGATTAATAAAAAGTTTGAAAGAACAGCATTTATTTTAAGTGGAAATGTTTTGTAACATCATAAATGCTTTTACTGTCCTTTCTTTCCCAATATGTATTGTATTGTTAGGTAGTTGGCGATAAACGCTAGTTTGGCTCCTACCCTACTTCGTAATACTAATTGGACCTAGAGTTTACATACTGCATATCGAGGGTGTTGATGAAAACAGCACATTTTCAGTGTTTCTGTTTTTGTCTTCTAGGAAGCACTGATCATGGCCAGCATGGAGCATCCTCATCTGGTCCATCTTTTGGGGGTCTGCTTGAGTCCCACTATTCAGCTGGTAACTCAGCTCATGCCCCACGGCTGCCTGCTGGACTACGTACATGAACACCAGGAGAACATCGGCTCCCAGCTGCTGCTCAACTGGTGCGTGCAGATTGCAAAGGTAAGAGTTCCCATGAACGAGTGTTTTTTTTTTTGCCTTTGTAGTTGAGCAAATACATTGTCTCAAATAATTAATCTCTGTTTAATCTCTCCAATGTTTGTTGTTTTGATATTTGAGAGTTCATAGTAAATTCACTATATTTGATTCCTTGCAAGTTTTAATGCTGAACGCACACATCTGCAGGCTGCTGAATCACTAAATACTCAGTTGCTTTGGCTCAGTTGGGTACCACATCAAATAGAAGGACGCTCTTCAAAGTACTTCGAAGGAAGAAGCTCCAGTGTCTCATGCGTCAAATGAGTGCAACTGCCCCCAACCGTGTTTAAAGAGAAAGTCTTCTTTCTTCAGCTCTGTGATTGAAACATTATGTAATGGACTGGTGTATGAAGGAGTTCAGAAAAAAAGAGTTTCCCAATAAGCTTTCCATTTCCTATTCAGCATAGCATGAAATATTCATTCATTGTTATTTTATTCTACCAGTTGAGCTGTGGTACTTACAGTTTTTCTCAGTCGCTTTGGTACATTTCTCGAATCATCCTTGACATTTGCAAAACAGTAAGTGCATTTCTCAAAACAACTCGTACAAATAACAAAACACCATGGATTACCTGCAAAAGGCCAGTCTCTTGCTCAAAATCCTTAGTTCATCTCTCAAAAATAAATATCTGTGTCAATGAACATGTCAGTGCCATCAGAATGACAAGTCCTTGTGTACGGATAAGACAGTCAAATTGCTTAGTCATGTTGTCAGTATAACTGTGTTCTCTGGAGGGATGTTCTGATGTAAACTATGGCTACAGTTTTGATGACAATTATTGTAAATTGTAGGTTACACCTTAGTGTATGTGGGAGTTTGATTGCAAGAGACTGGACAAGATTCACATTTATGCTTTTACTGTAATTTGTTGACAGACCATGTCATTGCGACACGGAAAGGAAAAGACAGCACTGCATAGCACAAACAAAAAAAAACAAAAGTAGAAATGTGAACATAGGACAATCTCCTTAAGGAAAACTGTACATGCAGTGCTATAGGAATTACAGTGCAGTCTTCCTACACCTCCTGACGATCTGGTCTGTTGGGCCACAAATTCTCATCCACATCACAATGAATATCTTCTCTTGCGATGCAGCATGGAAAGAATCTTTTAGAGTGTCTTATCCAGTCTCTGCAGGCATCTGCTGTGATGTCATCACACGCTGCATCCATGGCAGCCAGAAGGGTCATCTGTGTATGTGGCTGGCGATCATATACTTTCCATCTCCATGCTGAGAAAAATTCCTCAATGGGGTTAAGAAATGGAGAGTAGGGTGAGAGGAACTCCATCAGCATCCTGTTGTGGGCTGCAAACCATTGCCTGATGATGTTGGAGCGACGGAAACTGACATTGTCCCAAACTATCACGTACTTTGGCAGGTCATCTCCAATCTGACCCCTCTCTTGTTCAGGGATGAGATCCCTGTAAAGAGTGTCTAAAAAGGTGACAAGACACTCTGTATTGTATGGCCCAATAATGGGAATATGCGTTAGCACACCATTCTCAGAGATAGCAGCACCCATGGTTATGTTCCCGCCCCGTTGGCCTGGCACATCAACTGTAGCTCTGTGGCCGATGATATTTCGATCACGCCTTCTGCGTTTCGTTAGGTTGAAGCCAGCCTCATCCATGTAGATGAAGCTGTGCGGTGGTTCACTTGCTTCCAGTTCCATTATACGCTATATCCAGAAGACACAAAATGAGTTTTATGAGTTACATGGATTTTCATTTCGGCCAAGATACAGTTACATCAAATGTATACAGCACATATTGCATCTTCTTTTCTACAGCCATAACAAATGTGTAAAGGTCACACTTACTGTACTGTATATCACTATACGATGTTGTACTGTTTACTGTGAGGTACAGTTGCTGCATGCTCATACATGTTTTACCTGTACATACTGGTAGCGCAGCT